TTTGGTACAATCTGATTAAAAAATAGGCTGTTAAATAAAATTTGCTACTGCTGCTTTTGGCTGTCATCTTTAAATCTTTTTATAGGAAGCTGCTAGAAGTTGATGCTGAAGAGAAAACCTTTTACGTGCAAATACACTGCTAGCTCAGTAAGCACTGTGAATATTTGAACGGTGGTTATTCACAAAGATGCAGAAGTATGTATTGACTGTATGTTGAAGTATAAGTGTAAGGTTCTGGTGTATCAAGCGGAAAATGTTGAAACTGTGCCTGCCTTTCCTCCTTCTACATAATTTCCACATGTTGTGTTCCACTGGAGTATAGTCATCAGCTTTCATTCTTGAAATGATGGTTAGGTACTGAATTCATTAAAAATAATAAATATAAATTGTATTGGCAATTTACAAAAATTGCCTAAAGTACTGAATGTTTTCAAAAGATTGGAATTTGGTGAGGTTTGTGAAATAGGAAAAATAATACACTAAGTAGTCCTGGGGAAATGTTCTGTCCCACTTGTAACTAGCAGAATTTTGGATGTTAATCTTATTACAGCCCTATCACTGCCTCCTAACAGTGTGCTAATAACATCTAATGCCCTGCTGCTTGCACGATTGAAATCCTGGGGCTGCCTTACCGAAAGGAATGGATTCTGCAGTGCCTGTGGCCCTGATGGTTTCCATGGGAATGAGCACGAAGTCATGTACTGTGAAATGTGTTACGAAACTTTGTATCACGGAGAAATACATTATACCAGTGTGTGAACTGGGCAATGGAGAATTTAAATACACAAATGTAATGGTGCATTTTTAGTTGGGTTGAGGCAATATTTAAAGTGTGCTAATGGCTTGCGAACACCCGTGGAGATGCTGGTTACCCTGAACTGTTGTGCAGTCTGAAAAAAAAGCAAATGAAAATGTGCCGGGACAGAAATCAGGAAGAGATCAGTCTGTTAGGTAAAACACACCTTGAGTAACATTCAATATTTTTCTACATTTCTATGTTTTAATAAACTTTGCTTTTCTCCACTGTTTAATGACTATTTCCTTTGGTGCACTGTGGTTTGTGTTTAACTTCTTCCCTTTGCAAGAACAAGCAGCTCACTTTTGGACCCAAGTAAATAAATGACTTAAACAGATGTTTCATGGTACCTGCAAGACATTAGCTGATTAACGTAAATTCCTGATAAGAGTTGAGGAAAACCACAGCCTGTGAAAAACCAACAGACCTCTAACCAAAACCCAGTAATCTCCCCTTCTAATGTTGTACTTGTATAGAAACAGGCTTAGTGTCTGTACTATTTCCGTTCTTCAGGCTGAATTCCACCTACCTATTTATGTCAGTAGCAAAATCTTTTTCATTTTATGTTTTAGATGAGATAGTTTACCAGTTTTAATTCTAGGTATTAACTAATGGTTTGTTTCATGTTCTGTCTGGTTTTATATAAAATCAGTGATTTTTTTTTTTTTTTAAATAGGCTTTATTTATTTATTTATTTATTAAATCTCTACAGCTTTTGAAGTGTCCCAGTAGTAGAATGAGAAGCTAAGCCATGTGTACAGCATCTGGGTGTGCTTCCAGTAAATACAGCGTGTGTGTCAGTCCCTTGGCAGCGTCCATAGGGAGCCTGGGCTTGCGCTGCGTGCACGACCAGCTTGGCTGGAAGGCGCGGGCAGGCTGCGTCGCCGTAGAGGAAGGCCCTGTTCTTGTCAGACTGGGTTTCCATCTTGAAGGGAAATTCTAGAGCTCTTGAATCGGAGCGGTTTGGAAGTAGCTCTTCTCTAATAGAGAAATAACAAACCAACTGAAAGAGTGGATACTTATATGGGGCATTACTTGGTGGTGGTTAAAGCTCTGTATTCAGCGTGCATTGAACGTGTTGCTGAGATACACATAATCTGTGTAACAGTTTCAGAAAGTGAAAAAGGAGCTGAATGTCTACATTTTCTAGACTGAGCTTCAGGGTGAGCAAGGTACAGCTTTTCCAGCGGTGTCCCAAAGAGTGCACATAACCAGTTAATGTTCAGGAAGGAGTGATAAAATGCTGCTTGGCCTGTCACTGTCTTTGAGTCGTGCTTTGAGTCAGTCACTTACTGAGGTACACTGACAATGTATATTCCATTTAGCTTAATGCTATGTGTGAATATTATCACCTTCTTTGTCCTGTTGGGGGAAAAAAAAAAAAAACACACAGGAAAGTGTAGTGTTAGATGGCTATAAGCACTTTATGAGGCAGGAGGTAATACAGAAAACCATCAAGATTCCTGTAATTACAGGGTGATGGGGTTCCTAAACCAAGTAGAAGTGACTGAAAATATTGATGTTAAGTCAATAATCTGTTGTGATTTGTCACCGTAACATACATATTGTGGAGTTGCACTTCTTTTTGGAGGTTACTGATGTTCCGTTTTGTTCTTAAATGATCTGAAATCTTGAGGTTTACAAACTAAGCAGGTAGTATGGTACCAACTGATGTAATAAGTCACACAGGGAACAAAAAGCTTTGGATGTTTTTCATATGCTTCCTTGTACTCAAAACTATTCAAATAATACAGGACCATGTAACATCCCCCCCCCAAGAAAAAACCCTACAATTCAAGATGGAATATGTTCCATTCAGTTTTCCAAAACGATTTGGTACATGAGACAAAACCAACAGAATCCTATGACTTATAATTTCTGTGTGAAAATATACGTAGTATCCCCTGCTTGAGGCCCACCTCGGATCAGTATGCGTTGTTCGTAATAGTTGAGTTTAGGCTCAGCTCCAGGAAACTTCCACTCTCATGTCAAAAAGAGATTTTGATATTTGCACCTGATTGAGATGATATGAAACGGCATGCATCATTCTCTTATGCCTCCTATATAATTATTGCTTTTAAGCCCCAAATTTCTGGCCAGGTTCAGAAATAAGATTTTAACATCTGGTGTTTATTAGCTGTTGAGTGACATAAAACGTAAGCTTACTATTCCAAGAACTGTAATTTCCAAGCCTTTGTAAATGTTGGTGTTAGGGCTCTAGCCAGTCAAGATAAAGGTAAAACATTGTGGGGTGTTTGAGGCCTTCTGTCCAAAGGATGAGTATTAAACTTGCTAGACAGAACAGTGAGGGTTAAGACTCATTATTTCTGAACAGCAAGTTCAGAAACAACATTTTTAAAAGTTGTCTTGGTTTTTAGGTCTACTCAGTCTTGTCCTTTTGGCCTTAGATTTTGTACAGTATGTTCAGATTAAGTATCTTACTGATTACCTGTCAAGGAATTAAAATACCTTTTTTTCTGGCCACCAGTCATAGTTAGGATTGAAGATACCTGTCAAAACAATTACTTTAAGATGTTGAAAGTCTTAATGGAAAACAATAATTTTTTTTCTTTCTCCTAAGATAAAATTGGTTAAAGTTCTAAGCGTTTTTAGTCCAAAGTTAAGCGTGAGGTAGAAAAGAATAAATGTTTAGACATCAATCATGTCAGGAATGGTCAAAAAATCAGCGCTGTTGAATAAGAGAATCTAGAAAAAATAAAAAAAACCTCTGCAGATGATGTAGAATAAGCATTTAAGTGAATTCAGGGTTTGATTGTCAGTAGAGATTGTCATATTTCTCAAGATTAGTATAACATGAAAAATTCAGTTTCATCTCTAATCTTCAGTTCACCTCATGGCATGACTTTATGTAGTGGCAGTCTTGTGTCATGAAACTTTGTATCTGACACCTAAAAGACAAGGGTATCAACCTGTTGATTTTCGCTTTCAATGCGGTATCTGTCAGTGCTTTCTAGAACGTGTTTCTGTGGACTACACTGATTAAGTTGGAATTTTTTTATGTGTGTATGTAAACATCTGTCTCCTTAATCATCCAGAGGAGAGTGTTATGTGTATTAGACATACGTTTTCTTACTCTTACCCGCTGCAGTGGTATCTTTAATTTACTTCAGAGTTCCTTTTCTCCTGGCAGGAAAGTTGAGAGGCACTGTTACTGTCTTATCAAGTGGTGCTATAGCCAGGAGACAAATCAGCTTAAGGCAACTTTTTGCTTGGTCAGCTTCCAGAACTTGTCTTTTGTAAGTGTAGGATAAGCATTTATTTGCAGTATGCGTATAACAAAAAAAACCAAACACCAAACCCACCAACCCAAAAACCCCCAAACCAAAAAGAAGCACCCCCACAAAAAAACCACCAACCAACCACCCCAAACCCAACCAAAAAATCCCCCACACCAACAAAACCCCCCAAATCCCTAGGCCCCTGCTTCCCCCCCCTCCCCCCTTATCTGGAACTATTAAAAAATGTTAACATTGTGCATGTTTCACTATATCTTGCTCTAGTTTTCTCTGGGTTGTTTTTTTTTTTTTCCAAGTCTTTGTTTAAAAATCAAAGCCATTCCATGCTTACCTGAGGATTGCTGAACTGTTTAATTGAATTTAATTTTTGCATAGCTAACTGGTTAAGTTTCATCACAATGCAGCTTTTAGATTTGCTTTTTGTGTAGTGTGAGCTGGGGAAGCAGGCAGGGCACTAAATTAGTATAAAATTTGATGTGTAAAATTTGGCATGTCTTTTTTCTGGATAGTATTAAATAAATTAACTAACTATCTTTTTCCAGTGGTGCCATATATACATTTTATGTGTATTAGGTAGATGTCTTGATTCTAGGCATCCTTGAATTTAGCATAATTCAAATTCAATTGCATGAGTCATTAGTCATCACGGTTGAGATCTATCCATTTATAAAACTACATTAACAGTTCTCTCGAACTTTTTCTGTGCTAGGAGTTTAAGTAAAATTGCTCATGCTGTAATGCTTAAATGTAAAAGTTCATGGTTTGAGTTTTAAAAATTCATATGGAGAAGGCTCCATATATGACACGGATGTATTCAAAATATATCAGACACTATTAGAAGCAATAGCTTTCAAGAGTCTTTTGCCAAGCCTAATACTGATCACAGTTTCACTTGTGTTAAAGGTTGAGAGGATGTGGTGTTGTGGCATCTTCCACATTTGATGCCCATGTCGGTTATGGTTGGTTTGAAAACAGCTACGTAACACAGTGTTATTTACACTCTCTCCCCATCCTCTCCCCAGATGCTGGCAATTGGTGCTAGTGGTTGTGCGGACAAAGCTTTCTTGGGTGGGAAAAAATGTTAAGCATTCAAAAAGATTTAAATCCTTGATTTAAGACTGTAAATCAGCTTGTGACATCATGTATCCAGTGGGCTAACAGAAGCTCTCTCTTGTTTGATACTGAGTCTGTAAGACACAGTGCAGGTACTGGAAATCTGGTTTCAATGTGGTGACTTTCAGCTCTCTGGAACATGTTCATAAATGAGTCTTCAGTGCTTTCATTTGCTGTTGTCACTCTTTAGAGAAATACAGAAATGTGCACCTTGGCATATTCGTGTCCTTACGGTGGAATCTTCCCAGGACGCCCCAAAAGTTTACGATACTTCAGCTGACGGTTCATGTTATAGGTATGTCTGTAATGAGATACAAACTTCTGAAATTAACAGCTGTGATGTCAGGATGTAGCCAAAGTTAAAATTTGGCTTTATACTCCTACAGCTAAAATATGTATCTTTGAAGTTTTTAATAGTTTCAGAATGGTTCTTTTTTGTAGTATGACTTCATTCTTAATGTTTGAGCAGTGCTTTGAAGACTTGAAGATTAGAAACACTGCTGAACTGCAAGTTGGGTTTTTTTTTTGTCATCTTTCTTGTTAATTGAGGATTAATGGCCATTAAAGTCTGACAAGTGGCTACTCCAAGTGATTAAATTGCTTTGGTATTTTGAACACTAAATTTAGAAGGCTGAGGGACTCTTGAGTTTTATTTAGTAGTTATTTGTATATCCTTTTATAAAGAGTCTGTGAGTACCTAAATACTTCTTACATACTAAATCAAGCTGCATATGATCGTTGACTTGTGTGTTCAGAGGTATTAGAATTCAGAAATTTAGTTTTTTTGGTTTTGTTTTTTTTTTAACAGCAAGTCAAATTGCTTGATAGGTTTTCTACTTGATTACATAGACTTTCCTGGTTGGCCAGCTGCATTACTTAAATAACAGTAACAGTTGAAGTATGGTTTCATTACTGTTAATTTCACGTAGGAATGGTGTAGCAGTGAAGGGTCTAATGGTATTTCAAAACAATGACAGTTTGTACAAAGAGGCAGTATCTCTTATTAGATTAATAGGTGGATGGGAATTGAAAATTAGTGTTTGGAAAGTGAATCAGCATTGGATGAAAGATGGGATTTTTTGGTATTCATTTAGATTTCACTGGGATATTTTTTTTTCTGTGTCTTTTGGAAAAAATGATTTGTATTTCTTAATGTGTTGTGTCACTTGCATTATTTATATTAACACTTCTTAAGTTTGTTTGCAGACCAATATTCTGATTCTGTTCTGATGCTTCATAGACTTAACATCTTTTTTGGGAAATGTCTAGATACAAGTTAGTGTTCGATTTTTTGGGGAGTGTGTGTATGTTATTCAATATGGAGTATTGGTTTATGCAGTCAGATCAGAAAATGTCATGGCATTGTCATTTGTGTAGTGATCAGCTCTTCCTGCTGTATCTAGACTAGCAAACAGATGGAAATGACGTTTTTAAATGTTTGAAACTGGTTTTGTTATCTCTAGAGAAGTAGTTTTACTTTACACTTGAAGGTCTGTTTTTAGTACTGAAACACAAGGTCCAGTGCATGTTTTCCTTTTGGTCTCGTGGTAGTATTTTGATGGCAAGTTTTTCAATCCAAGTTTAGGAGCCTGCTATGCTAAAGACTTGTGTCTTATGCACTAAGTAAAACTCTCCAGAACAAAGAACAAAAGGAAAACAAGTATCACGTGTCATTGGATGCATTTCTCAGACTTGTTCATTTATGTTTTACAAATGATTTCAGTAGCTAATGTGTTTTCCAGTGCAGTCACAAACCTGAAGTTCTGCAGCTGGCTAACGGGTGTGAAATTGAGAGTAGAGAGTTCATGACCTTCTCTGCTACCTTTCTCAGACTCCGTTAGAAAAGAAGACTGCAGGTAGCCTAAACTGGGCTGTGCATCTCCCCGAATAATATCTGCTGTGGTCTTCAGGCTGGAGATAGAAAACTGCAGACTTAACATTTATGTTATTACTTCATTGGGTATTGGGGTATTTGGTTAGTATTTAGGAGTTTTGAACTTCTAGTTTTATCTCCCTGAAAAATCATTGGTACTCAGTGACAGCCCATGCTCTCTTCTCACTTGTGGCTGTTTTCTGTGAGCAGTTATCATCAGAAATGCTGCGATAACATTGGCATCGTATCTCAAATGCTCCTGGAACAGTGAACAGGCAAACAGGATTCACAGTAACAGGGACAGTCACTGTGTGTAGAAAACTCGAGCAAACGAGGAGAAAAATACTGGAAAAAGGTGAAGCTTACAAGACAGTAAAGATGTTGAGAATAGTCGTGCAGTAAGCAGGGAGCGTGCTGTGCTGTAATTTGTCCAGTTAGTTATGGATTCTTTGATTGTAGAAGACAGAGCTTATGGCAAATGTTTGATAAACCTTAACTTCACACTAGATGCAAGCTGAATATTGTTTATATGCTGGCTCTGTGCTAGCAGGCATCCATCTTCTACGTCTCGGTGATCTCGAACTGGTGTTTGCTGTACTGCTTTCAGCATTGTCAAATTCTACTTTACTGCCCTCTGATCATAATTTCCTTACTGTTTTCCTATGAAATGAGTTTTATATGGCTAAAGTATCTCTTTGCCTCTCTGCTCTGTAGGCCTGTTTTTAACAAATTGGATAAAAATGTATGGCTCGAGGGACAGATATGAATGCGTATTGGGCTGAAACAGCGATTGAGAGGCTTCAGTGTGAGTGTACGTGGATGCAAGAGAAAGCAGAAGTGGTGCTGTGAATAAACAAAGAATCAGTGCATGTTAGTCCTGTTCGATACTTGTATCCAACTTAGTTGGAAAAATGTTTTTATTTTCCATTCTCCTTCCACCTCAGGAGCAGGTGCATATGAAGCTCTTGTTTTCCCATTTTACCCCAAGAAGTCAATGTGTTTATAAGGAATTTCTTCTCTAGTCACCTTTTTCTTCCATTTAACCTATATAAAATCAAGTGGCATTTTAATTCATTAGTGGCATTTTTAAAACTGTGGCATAAAATTCTGCTAAATAGCCATGGAGAAAGCTAGGGACAAATAGATATTCTTGATGTGTAAATATGGGCTTAACTTCTTGGTTTTTTCCCCCTGTAGAATGTTCACTAAATACCAGTATTTGTACAAAATCCATTCTTGGGGTGGTTGAGCTGAAATCCATTACACGAGTCTGTTTGCCAACAAACATTAAAGTACTATTGCTTTAATGACAACATAGTCATCAGACATTTTCTGGTGCATTTTGCTTGGATGGATTAGGATTTAATGAAATAAAACCCGCTCGTGCTGGACAAAGTATAAATTCTTTCAAGTCTGTGATTGTGGTTAGTGTCTTATCTTGTTCTGGTTCTTGTTGTTAAGCATAAAATTTTGCTTAAGTGTAAAGTGTTTCTGGCAAATGATTGAATATTTCTGAGTGTTTTTGTTCATACTGTTCCAATTTACAGTATGGTCTCCTGGGAATTAGTCATTGTGGAGTTCAGATTTAGGGAAGGAAGTGAGAATTATATTATTAAAAATATGCTGAGTAATTTGTGCTCCTTTTTTCTTTCTTCTATCATTCATTATTCTTAAATATCCTGTGACACATAGTTTACAAAATGTAAATTACATTATCATCTCAAGTAAAACTGCAATGAGATGTAATTTTGAAGGTTAATACAACTGAAATTTGATGCCTTTTGTGGCTTTTAAAGATTTCCTACCAGTTTCTGCATAGTTACTTTCAAGGTGTTTTGGTAGTTTCTTGTGCTATGTTTCCCTCAGGAGGGAGCTTCTTGCCCCTACAAGATATCTTTTAATGGTTACAGCAACAAGGTAAAGTAAAAAAGATCAATATTTCATTTTAGAAGGATGTTGCAGAAAATTGGTTTAGAACTGTATTTTGACTGTTCATTTAACGGTCTTTTTTAATTCTCCTGTAATACTAGGATGGCCTCCAGTTCTTCAATCTGTATCAAAATTTCTGATGTTTAAGCCAGTAGCTCACTTGGTTTGCAGGTCTAATTTATGCAACACTTCAACAATTTAAAAATTCCAAATATATAGTTTGAGGCCAATAAACCCCATTGCATAATATGATTTTCTTGTCTTCATGTTCTAGGTTGTGCTAAAGATCATTAAACATTACCAAGAAGAAGGACAGGGGAATGAAGTGGTCCAGGGAGTGCTGCTGGGTCTTGTGGTGGATGACAGACTTGAAATCACAAACTGCTTCCCTTTTCCTCAGCATACAGAAGATGATGCAGACTTCGATGAAGGTAATGGTTACAGTTTTGCGAAACTTAAAAGGGTTAAAAAAAAAATAAACCCATGTGTGCAAAAAAGGATTTTTATTTCTTTTTCCACAGTGACCAGAAGCTTGTATGTGATCAGACAGTCTTTTTATTTGACTTGAGGTATTTATGGGTTCCTCACAATGCCATCCTGCATATCCAACTCAAATCTTGTCTATGTAAGGAAAGTTTTAGGGATAAATGCTGTATTATATGGACACACTTATTTTAGGGTAAGACTGTCCACACAGGAAGTTACATAAGTTTCCAGTCTGTAATTCATATAGACTTTAAAGCTTTTTATGAAACAGTCTAAGTGTGTATTATGGATGTATATATACATGCACATATGTATGTAGTCAGGAGTATAGATTGCCTCTCTGTAGATTTATTTGTATGTGTTAAGTACTCATTGTAAGCTTGGAGAGCAGAGATTTGTAAGTTAACTTGAATCTGGGTGATATTTTTGCTTCTCCAAGTGAGCTAGAAGTAGCATCAGTGGTTTCTATCTGTCTTGGTGTTTCCTTGCTGGTCCTAGTAATGTTCTGTTATTGCCACTGTAAGTCAGTATAATTGGCTTGACATAAAATGGTACAAAACTTATAAAGTCAACCCAAAAGGCTTAGAATCTAATCCTGGTAATATATATGTGTGTGTGTTTAATGATACTAGTAGAAACGCTTCTTTGTTAGGGCTTAAAGAGAGAGTTTAGCTTCAAGAGTAACTAAAGACGCAATACAGTCAAAGTAGTTGTGTTTGGAAGCTTGAGTCTGTCAAGTTTTGATAATTCAGTATAAGCAAGATTACTTAAAGTATAAACTGCTTTTTCTTGCTTATAACGAGGTTAGTTACTATTAAGTTAATATTTTATCTTATTATAAGAGAATGTTTGACTCTGCCTTTGAAACAGAGGTCATTTTAAGAATTCTTTGCAAGTTGGTAAGGTTTCTTAGCTGTTTATTGCTTCTGTTGTGGGATTATACAATTCGCTATATGGAAAAAAAGTGCAAAACACAAGGGAATCTTAATTGTCCTACACTAATATGGTGCTTGAGTCAGAACTATATTTTATTAAAGCCTAAAAGATGTTTTAAAGGTTCTGTCTCTTCTGGAGCTCTTCAAAGGATTGGAGTAATTAAATTTTTAATTGGACCCCATACTTTTTTTTTCCTGTAGAAAATGGTCAAATTGTTTCCGTGTAGCTGATAGGCAAGCAAGGAGTGAAATAAATGTCATAGTTTCCAAGATGGATTCATCTCACCATAGATGACTACCATGCTGAAGCTGTAAGCCTGTGATCTTGTATGCAAGATTGAACTGTTTCTGCTTGGGAGAAACTGTATTTGAAGAAGGTGACTCTTGTTACCAGTCTTTCTTTTTCCCTTTTTAGCAAGTAGGCAATAATCCTGGCATTAAGTAAGGTGCAAAAGGTAGTGCTTGTGGATCTTCCCTCACCTGGATGTCTCAGCTTGTGGACCTTCTGTTCCTATGCTGCAGGCACAGAAAGAGCAAAGTCTAGCCAGAGTGGAAAGTGAACCTACTGCAGTGACACTAATGCATGCCTTAGCAGTGACAGGGAATTTGCAGCCAGGTCATGGGAGCTTGCCTGTGCTGAATCATAGAATCATTTAGGTTGGAAAAGACCTTTAAGATCATTGAGTCCAACCGTAAAACTAGCACTGCCAAGTCCACCACTAAACTGTGTCCCTCAGTGCCACATATACACATCTTTTAAATACCTCAAGGGACGGTGACTCCACCATTTCCCTGGGCAGCCTGTACCAGTGCTTGACAACCCTTTAAGTGAAGAAATTTTTCCTAATATTCAATCTAAACCTCCCCAAGTGCAACCTGAGGCCATTTCCTTTTTTCCTATCGCTTGTTACTTGGGAGAGGAGACCGACCCCCGCCTCACTACAACCTCCTTTCAGGTAGTTTAACACTGTAGGCCAACCTCAAGAGCTGTTTTGTGTTGGTTTTCATCTTCTGCAGCCTCTACTGTATGGGTCACAGAGAGGTTCTCTCTGTACTCTTCTCAGTGAAATACAGTTAAATAGACTGAACCATTCAGGAAACGCGCAGCGCTCATGTTCATTCTGCATTCCCTTTACTAAGGGCCTGTTCAGCCCTTGGATCTGTGTGGTAGAGGCTGGGGAATATGAAAACAAAATGGCTCTTGAGGTTGCCAGCTGAGCGTTAGATACCTTTTTAGGTTCTATATAGACTTGTCTTCTGTCTTGCCAGTGTGAAAAACAACGTTTTATAAGTACTCCTTGTTTCTTTTCGCTGGAGCTGTTTGCCTGTGCAAGCATCTGGCCAGATTTTCAGATGTTTCTTCTTTCTTCTAGATACAAATACTCCAGCAGAGAAATCTCTTGTATATGCCAGAACCTTAAAATTCAGGAGGCTAAAACCCAAACAAGGCACCTCCCTCCCCTTAAGAGTTGTATGTTACATCAGTATCACAGCTGGCTTTATGTATTTGCACAAATTCAGGCCCAGAGATACGGAAGGAAAGAATAGGGTCTTGGCACTTGACTGCTTCCATCACCCAGAAAGATACTCAGTGGTGTTCTCTTTGGTCAGAATAACATTGTATTGTCTCTTCTTCTTGCTTTGTGTGTGTGTATATATATATATATATAATTCTTTTCCCCCTCCTTATCCAAGATTCTGGAATAGGAACAATCCTATTGAGATTCCAAGTTTCTGGGCCTGCAGAAAGTATTCCTTAGCGGACTTTGATCATACTTGATTTTATGTTACCGCAGTGACTGTTGCACTGGCTGAAGGGCCACACTATTCCAGGTACCCTTCTCCTGAGCGGATGAAACGGGGACCAACCATGGTGCAATGGTTGGCAAACTCCTAATCTGCTGTGCTGAGAATTGAATGAATGCAAAAAAAAAAATCATTTCTTCTATATCATTTTGCAAGAGCTCTAGGAACAGGTCACCTGAAAAATACTCATTTGCCTTGTGGTCTCGGGATGACCATTGAGAGAATTGAGCTTACGTCCAGGAGGGTGATATTTGAAGAAACAAACTGTTGGATAATTGGCAAGAGATGTTTAAGCTAATGTTTTCCTTTTTTAAACTGAGCAAATCTAACATAAAACACATTTTTGAAGGTGCTAAGAAAATATCCTTAATTTGAACTTGAAATAGGTATGCATGACATTTAAGGATCAGTTTGGTAATGTTGTATTTCTAACTTGTTAGCAACAACCATTTCTTCAGATACGCTTTGTTATGGTGCCATTTTGTGTCTTGCTGTTGATGTGTGAGATACTAGTAAGTTTTGACTATTTGCTGGAGCAGAATTCTTTCAAAAATGAAATTTTTGATTTTGGAAAAGACATACACAAACTTGATCTTTCAGTGCAGGAACATTTTTTAGTGCAGCTTGAATTAGAGTATTTCTAGAAACTACAGAAAACGAGAGATTTTTTTAGCTTCAAGTAATTCTTATTATAAATCTGGGAGGACTGTCTACCATTTACGAATCCACAGGTGTTTTTCATCTTGGAAAGTTTCTCCTGCAGTGTCGTCTTCCTACGATTTTTTTTTTATAAAGTGTAACTTTTTGGTAAGATTTTCCTGTCAGGGAAGTCTTAAACACCTAGGTTGGCCTGCTGCAGTGCAGGATTTTTTGGAGGGGGTGGGAGGATTGTGTTAGAAATCTGTAGATGATGTTTAGTTGATGATGTGTGAGCTAATGGAGGAAAATTGCAGAACAGGGGGGTGTTATTGAGTCTTTAGCAAAAGATGCTTCAACATGAATGTTTGATGTTTTGGGGCTGCTCTCTGGACTTCTGGTGAGGCATTTTGCTTTTCAGATAACCGTGTTTCCTTGTTACTAGTGCACTTAAATCCCCAGAGGTATTGAATTTATTTCTCAAAACACAGATCTTAAAATTAAAGAAGATACTTTTAGCTATCTACATGTAGAACCACTATTCCTGTGCCCCCACCCCTCCCATCTTCCACCCAATGGATTCAGCTTTTGTTTAGGGAAAATCAGATTTCTGCTGTAAGGATTTTTGGTGTAGGCAGTTCTGTGAAATGATGCAGTATCACAACTTGTCTTTGAAAGGGTAATTTTCTGAGAATTCCTTTCACTTTGGGGCACTTCCAAGCTTTTGTCTGAGCATAGTTTTGCTTTCTTTCAGTTAAAGTTTACAAGAAAGGTGTAATGCATGAGGTGTATTTTCTTCCTAAGAAATAAATGTATTATTCTTGACTATAAATAGTGTCTCTAAGCGACACGTTAAGTTCAGACCTTTGCACTTCATTGTTTTTATCTTTACTGCTATTCATTGAGTAGCTCTTCTCCCTGTTTAAAGGAAATTTATATTCCTTTCACGGAAGGCAACAGTTAAAAATATAGTATACATCTTGTAATTCATTATAGATCTTGTGAGACATTATTTTGATAAGGTATTTCGAAACAGATATTATTTCAACCTGATATATTTTAGTGCCTTACAAAGCTGAGATAATAAATTAAGTGCTGTGGTAATTATGGCAATAGAAATTTCTAGGCAGTTATATAATTATACATCAAAATAAGTTCTAGAAGGCCATAACTTTTTCTTCTTTTATAACTATGCAGAGTTTTCATTAGATTCCCTCTGAAATGCTTTGATGAAAAGGTGATGCCGCCTTCTCCTTCCCAGGCCCCCCGCCTCCCAACATGATTTTTACTTTCTTACCTGAGAAGGTTAATTTTTGTTTTTCAATTTTCAGGTTAGAAGTATCTAGATGATTAAAGATTCTAATACCTGTATTTTTCTGTGCTGTAGCTTGTTATTTAGTTGCATCATCACTCCGTAAAAACTAGAAATGGCATAGTGCAACATTTCCACAAAAACACCGTTTTCTTTGTTTGTGGCTTTGATTTAGCCTTGAATGAATGCAGTTGCATATGGACAAACATGTCATAGCTCCTATATAGTACTTTTTCTGGGTTTTAATCGTCCAGAG